TCTGATTTTTCTAAAAGAAAGAACTACTTGGAAAAAATATCTTGCATTTAATCATTTCTACTCTATGGATATTCTCATAAATAATTGATATGCCAAATATGTTTAACAAATGAAAAAAAAAAAGTAATATTTCATCAGATCATGCAGGCGTGTTCCTATCATGTGCCTTATTTCACAGTAGCATGAAATAGTGCTGAAGAGACACATTGGCACTTACAGATGGGTTGTATATCCTAACAATTTCCAAACATAAAATCCCAAGACATCCTATGACCAGCTAAAACCAAATCAGGCTCTACATCTAATTCCCAATTTCTAAGTTGTAAGCAGCAATAATCTGAAAGGTTTTAGAAGAGCTCATCCCGGAACTACTGAGGACAAATAGACATTGCTTCCCTCCGTGGGGTAATAGGAACACTCCTAGAATCCATTATTCTTCAATTCATTATCGTACCCTAGGATAACACAACAGCCCTGTGAACTGATAGTCCTCAAAGCTCTGTTTCCACTTTCAATGCCAAATAAAAATTTTAGACATTTTCCCTGGAAGTAATTCATAGCCACTGAGCAGAAACTGCAGATGCTCAGCGCTTGGTCATGGTTTTGTGCCTACTGCAGTTAAAGAGTGGGATGGGGAGCAGAGGTTCAAATTTCCAGAAACCCAGGCCTATTAGCCCCTTATTCACATTGAAATTACTGGAAGTTATATGCTGAAATATCACTGCTGATCTGACCCCAAGGCAATGGTTTTTCCATCTGATCCCAGGACAAAGCTATTGCAGCCACTCAAGTAGTATCTATAAATTCTCAGTGCGTGCCACTTTCCAGTAAATCTTTCCATGCTGTGCAATGAACACCAGCACTGCAATGTTGATGTTTACAAATGCAGATTCGTGTTGGGTCATGCTGCAATAGACCCACGAGATGATGCTTTAGGGGATAAAGGAAGCAAAGGGACCAGAGAGCCTCTCCTTGCTGGAATTAGAGGTAGCCTTATCAAGAGCCCTGCAGGAAACGCTCCTCCATAACCCACAGAGCACAAGACATCAAAGACACGAAAGACAGGCCAGTATTAGGATGGCAAGCGAGAACCCAGCGTCAGGAATGCCACAGGATATGAGATAGCTCCATGGCCAACCGCCATAACTTGGCCCACCAGAATCAATAGCACTGGGGGTGTTGAGGATCTATGCCACAGGACGTGCCTGCACTGCACGCCTCCAATTAATAACGAGATAGCTAAGAGCTACCTTAGCTATCAAAAGCAACTTTGCTGCGCTAGCACGGGATCTGGATCTTCTTTTCCAGTTGCAAATCCCAGCATTTCGTGCTAGGCACAGATGTAGGCATCTGTGCACACTGCAGCCATCTCCAGTCCTTCTCTGCCTAAGTTCCACTGGTACCAACGTAGAAATGTGAGAATTCCTGTTGGGTACAGTGGCTGTGAGAAAGGAAATCATTGGACACGGGGGGACTACCTGCATACCTACACCAAGGCAAAAGCCAGGAGAGCGAAGGGGTGGGACCCCAGCCCCAGCACTGCACCAGGCTGCTGAGAGGGAAGCCAAGCACCCTGTGAACATTGCAGCGAGATCCAGGAGGGACTGTGCCTACTTGCACAGGGAATTCAAACGGCTTATTACCAAAGCCATTTTCTTTTTTTTATTATTACTTTCTTCAAACAAAGCTAATAAATCAAATCACCCAAGATGCACATTATGCAAAGCTTAATTAGATTTGGCACACATCTCGCTAGGAGTAGCACCCATCTGACTTTAGATCAGAGAACTCAGGTTTGATGGGTGGAACCAAATCGCCCACTTTGGAGTTGCTAAATCTACTTTTAAATGCAGTGTGTTTGCATTTTTTCACTCTGGGACCTGGAGGAGGTTAGCTTTGTTTGGCTTTTGGGCAATGGGAGCAGTCGAAGAGGATTCAGAAATAGAAGGATACACGTTTATGAAGAACATAAATCTCCTATTCTGCAGGCAAGGAAGAATCACGCAGAGTTGGCAGCAGCCGTTTAATGGGGCTACATTTCACAGAGCTACTGTGAGCTTGTGGAGCTCCCTCTTTGATCACCAACTCGTTTCTAGACCTCCTGGGGTATTTCTAATACACCAGGATTAGTATATAAAACTCATTCAAAAATACTATTTTAATAGCATATGATTTGGCAGAGCAACCTTCATTGCTGATACTTCATTTTATTGTCAATCTCTTGTTTTGCTTAAGCCCACAGGTCTTTAAGAAACTATATTTAGTGAAAAAAAAGTCAGCTGTATTTTTTTAAAAATGCATTTATAACCCTTACAGGGAAGAAAACATTAAAACAAAACAAAAAGCAAACCCACCCGTACTCCATTCAAGAGAAAGAGAGTGAAAAGATTTGAAACAAACAAAAAAATGCCCCTGCCCCACAGCTCCCTTAATCCCTGCTCTGCTGAGAGGGACCAGAAAAGCTCACATGAAGAGTCCGAGCTCTGCAGCCTGCTCCTGATCCCCCCCCCAGCTGCCCCCTGGTTCCCACATCCCACTTTAAGGGCTGGCGTGTGCAGGGGACAGCGGGGTAGAGATTTGGCTGCCTGCCGTGGCTTTAGACACTTGCACACGAGCACAGCACTCAGAGAGCCACTGGGAGTCCTGGGCTCCATAAAATGAACCAAACCATGGTCTGAGCAAAAGCACAGAGAGAGCGGTGGACAGCTTGTGGCCAGGCTGTATCTCAACAGCCCTTGGTCTACATGCAAAGGGGGAAGGTGGAGAGAGCCCAGCACCATCGAAGTGGGGTTGGTTCAAAGAGATAGATGGCTGCACGTGCTGGTTGAAACGAGCACATCCCAAAGCCTACTGAGGCACCTCTCAGCCTGCATCGTCCCCTCAGCACCACATCTGGATCCGTGCTGTGTCCCGGCACAGTCAGACATTCCCTGAGCTTCGTGCTCATCCAGAACCAGGAATGAATGGAGCACAAGGCTGGCGTGCTCAAACACCACCCACCAAAGCCAGGGAAATTTTATACAGTAAGTGCCTGCAGTGGGCAGCTCGCATCCAGTGTTCCAGTTACATCTCATTTACCAAATAAATGTAGTTGTTCCGCAAATAATTTAATGCAATAAACATTATCCAACAAAAGAAAAGTTTCAAGCTCAATCAGGTGACACACCCGTTTGGGACCTTCCTTTAAAAGGGAGGCCAGGTGCCACTGCTGAAGTTTTGTAATCTAAACGTCTGACGCTTTCTGATATGCTGGATGGGGGCCTCACATTTGCCTTCTTCACAAATACAGAAATAGGCAGAAATAATTAAATAAAGGGAGCCCTGTTCATGCTCCAGTGCCCCATGTATGAGAAGTTGCGGCTGACAATGACATTGAAAACCAGTTGTCAGTCTAATGTAATCAAAGAGACAATTGGCTCTGCTGGCAAGAACTGAATTAGTGTTTTCTGTCTGAATCAGTGTCATCTTCCAGGGAGCACTGAAGCTTATGCAATGATAACAAAACTCCCCAGAAGCTGCATTTGTTACTGAAATATGGTGGTGCTTTGGTGCTATGTAACCTCATTCTGTAACACAATATACCTCATGGTCATGCTGCTGTTCTCATGTTTCTTGCAATGATACAATTCAATGACCAGATGCTAGATCAAACCAGACAACCATAATATTAAAACTTTACAATCTCTCCTCAAGAGCTAATGTGGTTTATTCTCAAATGTTCTCCGCTCTCTCACACACTGTACACACATGCAGAGCATGAAATCAGGGCAGAAAGTCCAGGCCTTGATGGAGATTCAAAATGCTAATGCTCTGGGGATGACAGAAGGGTGAAAGGTGCTAGACTTCATTTTCCTAATGAGGACAGTGGGTAAAACTCAAACCAAGGTCAGATATGAATGAATCTCACTTTTCAAGTAGGATTCAGTGCTGATGCACAGTTATTGCTATAAGAAAAAAAAGTCAGTCTTCAACAGATAAATTGCTGGTATTGTGACAGCACCCGGTAGCTTCATCCTTATTTCTGTTTCAGTTCACAGAATGAGCTGTTGTTGAGGGCTGGAACATGCTGCGTTATTTTTCCCCCATTGTCACTGTGGTAGAAGCTTGCAGTGTGTGTGCTGCCTCTTTGCTGCAGAGCTGCCCTGTTGGCCCCTCATGGGAGACACGAGTGGTTCGCAGGGGGCACCTTACACCTGGTCCAAGAGGGCGGGTGGACTTACAACAGCAGGTACAGAGCAGAAAGGCTACCTCAGGAAAGCCACTTACCCTTAAAGAAATGTCACTTCAGTGCAAGAAACTTCAAGGATTATTGCATTTACATATAGTAATGCTATTTTAATACTTGTGCTTATGTAACAAACATCCGGCACTTGGAAATCTCTGCGTATGTTCAGTAATGTCAATCAAAAAAAATTCAAGTATTAACCAAAGCAATAAAGGCATATGATTCTTATATAATTTCAGTTTTCAGCATATCTTCCCTTTTTCATCCATACCTGTTCCTTTAAAGAGCTACTGCTATAATCGGACACTCACTGGATTAATAGACATGAGTAATTAGCAAGCTGGTGGTCTTCCTCAGGCCAAGACGACACTAGGTGATCTGTCACTCAAAGGCAGGACATCAAAATTCATACTCCTCTTTTTATAATTAATGCTCCATATTAAATATTCGTTAAGACTTATATAAATTATTTCCTTGTTCGGAGCCCAACTTTTCTGTCCTTGTTCAGACAAAGCTCTCATTGAATCAGAATGTGTTTACCCAACTAAGACAGGATATGACTATGCTTCAAATCTGTTGTACTATCCTTAGTCTTTGTAAGCCTCTGGTCTTGCTCAGAGAGAACAAGGGACAAGTCAAATCCTGAAACCCTTCATCTGCAACTCCCTCTTCATTTCTCCCAAAGCCACCTCAAAAAGAAAAAAAAAAAAATCCTCTGCCAAAACAAAACCATTCAAGCACAGGAATTTTGCAAAAACAACAGAAGGAGACTCACGGGAGCAGGAAGCGTTGGTACCTCGTGTCTACCAGACCAGTGCTTTGGACCAGGCCTCAGAGGAGCTCCCCACTGCAAGAGAGAACAAGCTAGATGAGAGAAGAGGAATGGTTTATGCCTTACATCCACTGTTTGTCAGGCCAAAGCCCCAAACAGGAAATGTTTCACTAAAAAAGTTTTGTAACAATGTGTGTTTTTCACATGTACGGGGTGAATTTTGGAGGTCACTTCGACAAACGCTTTGATTTACTGAGACAAGGCAAAGAAGAAAAAGGCCCAGTAAGGACACTGCAGATGATGGCCACATCCCTTCAGCACACACCTTCCAGTCCAGTTCTGCCCTCTGAAGGCATGTAGGCTCTCCAGTAGTGCTTATTTATATGTCACATTGCAGTGATGAATGTTACTGTTGCTCTCAAAAACATATGCTCAGAAGTTTATTATGGCACTAAATATGGGCTGGGTAAGAATCTGGATTGTTTAAGTGTCAAACAGTGACAACATGTGTACAATACAACACAGACATCAAGGGAGAACCAGCTCAGCTAATATGTGGTATTCATATAAGCCTTTAAGAACAAAGACCACCCATAAAGCAAAACCAAAGCTGCCACAAGAATAGGTGGTACTGCTTCCGTCATTGCATACTGTGTGCCAATTGGTTTCCTAATTAGATTTGCAAGCTAATAAAAGGCATAAAACACAATAAAAGAACAATATGTTACAATTCTTCCTATGACAGACGTTGCTGTAAATTCATCAGATTTTTGATCATGGTAGGTACCCAGTACATTTGTTTTTCTTATAGCTGGGTTTGTTTTCTTTATATTTTTGCACTGTTTGTACCTTTTTTTTTTCCGAGAATGAATACTTTCGTAAGAAGAATAGTTCCAAACGTGACAGTTTTCAAGTATTCACGAAGTAACAATCAGCATAAATAACTCCCATACTTCTCAGCATCTTCTTTCAAATAATGTTTTTTGTTCTATTTCATATTGCATTTTGTTAAAACACATGGTAACTTGGCTAGTACAAAAAAGATTCGTTAAGAAATTTAATTAAATCCCAAGGAAACCAATATAAAATACATCTTCTTAAACACTTGTGTTACAAGTTAGGCATCTTGGCTACAGCAGCACACAAGAACTGATGGAACCGTATTCTCCTGCTACAGGGCTGGAGAGATTGACCAGAACCAGGACATTGCATAACAACACTTCAGAAACATTGACCAGAAAAGGACTAACAGAAAAGGGTGATAGAAAAAAACTCAGATAAAAGTGAAAAATAGTTTGAAGAGAGGAGAAAAAAAAAAGGTTGATGGGAAAATAGACTGAAGTTTAATGCCCCTTCATCATGCACCCAGTTGTATAGGTATCTCCTCCCTTTACATATTGAACCTTTAATACACAATTTTCCTGTCTCAGTGACAGTTACTAACAATGACCAAAGAAAAAATGAGCCTAAGAAGAGAAAACTGCAGTGCCACACTAGCAGCTATTGCTTATGTGGATTAGTACTTCAACGTGAAAAACCTCTCTGTCCAGACTCATAGTCCGCCGTGCAGGGGTTTCAATACAGCCCTGCATTTGCCAAAGTAAGAATGAGCCTCCAAAGTCATCAGACTCTCAAACTATGCAGTGAAAGTCCCAAAGATGCCAACAAAGCTTAATACGCATTGGGGAAAGCTATCTTAAGGACATGAGCCATCCCATCTACACCACAAACTCAGCAGCAGTGGTCCCAGTCCCCACATGCCTGCACCAACTTCAAGCTTCATGACAGAGAGGACCCTCCTCACAAGCCAACAGGCCAGAACCTCCACATTGGGTTTAACTGCAAGGGATTTCATTGCAGGGACCAATTCATATTCAGATGGTCCCTTTGTCCAATGCAGCCATGCTCCCCAGCCCTTTGGAGCATGGTATAAAGTCTTTTCCGCAGGCTTTCTCAGAGGTGGTGGGTTGAGTGAGGTGTGGGTGCTGGAAAGAAAGATATATTGGCTCAAAGTTAAACAGCTTTTTGTATGCACAACCCGAGGCATAAACAAGTCAGGATTTGCATACTGGACCTTTGCATATACAATCTGTGTTCTTTGGAAAATTGTTCATTAGTCCTTCTATTTCATGGGTGTGAAAACACTAGGTCAGCTTCTTTATATTTTAAACAGCACAGAAATGAGTGTGAAATAAGGAAATCCAGACATCTTTCTACAGCACATGGATCATCTGAACAGGCAGTTCCAGCCTGGTCCTGCACTGTGGAACAGAGAACTGAAATTACACAGCCCGTGTCATGGGCAAAGCCAGGCTGGATGATCAAAATGCTCCGTGCGACCCCTGGACATCTGGGGTAGACCCCAAGCTCCAATGGCTCGTATCTGCAGACAGCAGTGAAAGTGAAGCTGGAGCAAAAATTGATTGAAGCAAAGAGCAGTGATGGTACAGGGACTTGTCACATGCGGAGCCTTGACGTGCTGTTTACATTTTTGTTTGTTTTCATTGTTTGGAAAGACTTCTTAAAAGGGGAGGACCCCAGCTAGCAGGCCTCTTGGAAGAAAAGCATTTTCAGAAGTGACTTGAAAGAAGAGAGGGTGGGGGAATCTGATTTAATAAATGATATATAGGAGTATAATTATATGGTTTTAAACACAGTTCCAGTTCACTTGTCTCAGCAAGAAATGCTGGTGTGTGAGAGAAATCATTTATATTGCTTACTACAGTTTTTCAATCTTGGCAAGCACTTTTTCCATTCTAAGATGTGGGAACACCCACATCAGTAATTATATACATTAGCAAAAATACAAGATAACTCATATTCAGGATGGTGGGGGTTTCCCTCATTTCTCAGTGAACGATTAGAAAGGAGAAAGATCGCTCCTCTGCAAACTCAATACATGCCAAAAAAAAAAGTTACTGGAAATCCAAGATTGTCTCTATGCATCGAAACATAGATCCATGGATAAATGGTTTAGAGGTTTTAGATAAAACCTCTATCACAAATTAGCTCTGCAACAAAACTAACAATTTAGTATTTTTAGTTCTGGCTACTCTATGCTGTTGGATGAGAACTAACAGTCCACATAGTTTGGTGGAAATCAACAGCACTGCTGGTGAGATTTCATGTGTTTGTAAGTGCACTCCAATCGGCAAGGCACATTCATGTATGCACAGCAGTAAAACCCAGGGTTAGAATATGAAAGCTGGTCTTTTTGAGCCTGAACCACTTGCTGAGATTTTCATGGTGGAGAGGCAGAGGGAGATGGAGCTGCAGACTCCCACTGGTGCCTGTGGGATGAGGCTGCTCACGTGCTCCAGCCGCAGCCCGAACCGCTTGTGAACTGCATGAACTCGTGAACCATGGCTTGGCTATCCCCAACATACGTCATTAAGAAACAAGCTAGGAAAAGCTCATCCAGTCAGAGTCAGGTCATGTCCACTTCGTGTTTAATGCCCTGAAAGAGTACCAGGTTAACCAAACATAATTTAGCTCCTTTCTTTTCTCATTCCTAACGCGGCTAAAAGAGACTTGGAACATTCAGGTTTTAATTTTCCAGGTGTGTATGTCTAAACTACGTGGCAGAGAAATCTTATTGTATGTAAGGGAGCTATTCACTTCTGTAATCCTACCCACCTGTTAATATTTGCAGGACAGGCCTTTGGGATAGTTTGTTTTGTTGTTTTTTTCTAATGGTCTCATACTTAACTGACCATACATTTTTCTTTCTGCATGCAAATTTATCCTGAATATGCTTCTAGATACAAAGATATGATCACTCTTGTTTTTGTTTTTTAATTCTTTTGTGGTTGCACGGTTCTCACATCTCAATGAAGATTTAATTACATAATGCATTAAAAGAAAATTGGGTTAGCTTTCTAACAGTTTCTTAAATATTCTGTTTATTAAAACAGATGCAGATGGTCAAGATGAACAGTGATAAACAATGGTCCACAGGTGAAATTATTACAGAAGTCAACAGAAAATCTGCTTCTACACCCATCCATCTTTTGTATATTTTGACCTTAAAAAGCCACTAGACCCGGGGACATCACACTAATTGCGCAGTACAAGAATGAGATAATCACATTTTTCTGATCCTCTAAATTCCCAACATGCTACTTACCATTAGATGTCCAATCTACACTTGCATTCTATTTTTAAATTATATATATATATTTATTTAGATATAAAGTAATATTTCTCTGGGGCTCCTTTTACACCAGTGCAAGTAGATGTGTGTTGGGATTCACCTTTTGATTTTCCAGCACACTTCAATGCTATAGGAAAGGTTCCCACCACCACCTGGGAGCATTGGGCTGCATGAGAGCTAAAGAGAAAGCGGAAAGGAAAAGACTCTGCCCAAACTGAGTGTAACACAAGAAGGATGGAAGTTGAGAAAAAGATCTATAGACAAACACTAAAATGAGGAACACCTGAGTTTCCTTGTTTTATATTTAAGTTGAGAGAATTTTAAATCTCCAAAAATCAAGCCATGTAAACCCTCTAATTTTACCATTTTCATTCTAAGATGAAATAAGAATTACTTTGAGTATTCCTTTAATTTTAAAATGTTCATCCTCTCACTCCCAACCCACATCATCCGTATCTGTCACTGGGTTAAGGCATCTTGCAAGCTCTCTCAAAGTCATCACCTTTAACTGGAGCTAAATTATTATGTCAGATGGTGGAGAGCAAGCATTGCATGCTTCATAATGGTCTTGCATTTGTTTAAATGGTATTGCACACAACAACAAACACAAAAAAAAGGACTTTCTGGTTTGCACACTAATTTTTAGTATCTTCAACTACAGAGTTAGGTAGAAAAAAAAAAAAAAAATTGGATAATTATTATGTGATATGCCTAAGTAGCCCATAAAACAGGGGGAAAAAAATAAAAGAAACACTTCCCCCTTGCTGCCCCCCTCAAGAAAACCCAGATGCACACAGAAAAAGCTGTCAAACCCAGTCTTGTCCAAAGCAGATCTGCCAATGTTCTGACAATGTTTGCACTTGCTTGTCAAAATGGTCACTTCAGCTGAGCATCATTTACACTTTGTCTTACAAATTATTTATGCAAATTACCTGTAAATTTAACAGTAAAAAAAATCCACCTGCCTTTAAAGTTATCCATATAAATACCCACAGTTTCTCTCTTTATTGTCATGGGATGCAGATGTCCTGGCTGAAGCATAACACTGCAGAGGGACCACAGAGCACACAGCTCGTGGCCACCACCGGGGTTGCAGCCCCTGCTTTGCCACCAGCCCCACCACCAGCCACATCTTCTGTGCCTTCCTTTCTGCTCCTGCAGAGCGGATAGGCCTGCCTGAATTCATCCCTGCAATTCATCTAACAATTGGTGAGATTTTCTTCTGTTTGAAAGTCATTTCTCAGGCTTTTTTTTTTTTTTTTTTTAACAGTCTGCTCTCCAAAATTGCCCAGAAAGCCCTTTCCTGCAAGTAGTAATCTGAAGGGTTTTTACCTACAGACTGATTGATCCAAGCGTCCCGGTTTGGGAGCAGCAGTGGTTATGTAACGCGCTGCACGCTGCTGATGTTCGGGGCTGGAGGAATGCCGTTGCTGTTTCTGTGAATGTCTTTAATTGTTCAGCAGATTTTAAAGATAGCTAACCATGCTGTTATTAAAAAAGAGTGCTGAGAGCTTTGTCATGGATTTCTTTCCTTTGTTTACAGAAAAAGTTGAGCTGAACTTGTAAGCGAACGTAAATGGGATCGGTCACGATTCAGGCAGGAGAGATCCCGTACCTGGGATGACTGAGACTGAGCCATGAAACCCAACACAAGGAGCTTGTGCAGGAGGGAATCTGAAAGCTTCCTGAGCTCTCACAGGGCATCTGTATATGGAGTAAACTCCAGTTACATCTGTTGTAGTGGAGTCTTACTCTTAGGGTGTTGCAAGGGCAGCATTACTGGAGACTGACTCCAGCCTAATAACATCCTGGGTCCTTCAGAAACTACCACTGAGCAGGCATATCTGAGAGCTGGGGCAGGTACTGATACTGCCCGCTCGGTGTGCGAGCCCCCTGCTAGCGCCTGCGTTCTCCCCACCTCTTGCTTTCCTCGCCAGCATCTTGGATAGCAAGACGAAAATAGCAATGACTGTTCTAACTTGTCAAGGAAACACCCTCTTGAACATTTATTCTAAATTACTTTTTTAACTTATTCCTTTTTATCCGCTAATGATTTTTCTAATCAACACTTGCTTAATATTTGTTAATAAAAGTTTTGACTGTTAATGCAAATGGTCAGTGGCTAACCCCTCACAAAGCAGATGCACAGCAGCTTTGCTATATTTAGCCATCACTACAGCCAGGCAGAGAGTTAATACCTACCTCACAGGACACGCTGACTTTCCACTAATTGCTAATGGGTTATGAGATCCCAGAATTAACATGAATGTAAAGCCCAGAGCATTAATACGGTACTTCAGAGTATCACCGACTATGATAATCCTCAGAGCCTCAACCTATTCCTCTCTGGTTAAGAATTTCCTTAAGTATGATGACCCTGAAGGGACGGTGAGACATAGGACACATGAACTTGCTTCCAAAATCAAATGAACACTTACTACCTGGAGTCAGGAACACTCCAAGGAGCTGCAGCTTTTTGTCCTTTCAGTGAAGGCTTTGTAGAAGTCCTTCTGGGGCAATTAAACAAAATGCAAAGGGAAAGACTCCACTATAGCAGCAGGTACTATTGTTTTTATCTCCAAATACCAAAACTGTCAATCCATTCCAATTGCCCGTTACGTATACACAGCAGAAAAATATTAACGGCTTTTTAATTGGATTGAGAGTTCATTGTATTTCTGTTCCCACCCAACAATCACACAGAGCTATACTTAGGTTTATTTATCCTACTTCACAAAACACCACTTACATATTATTGTTAACCCACAAATGAACAAATGAAAGACCAGGGGAATACAATGATTAACCCAGAAGTGCTTCAAATGGTGAGACTTTGTTCTGCAGACATCAATGCATGCACGGAGCAGCTGATCAGCTCGAGAGGACAAGAACTGGGAAAGTTAAATTGAGCAATGCCTCAGGATGCTGATGTAAAAAAAAAAAAAAAAAAAAGTAATCAGCTTCCATTTCACATTCATATAATATATTCTATGCCCTAAAAATCTTACCTGTGCATAAATCTACACAATAAACAGAACAAAAAACTCAGCCAAAGTGAATATCCTCGAAACACCTAGCATGTTGTCAGCCCACATAACTGTGCTGCTTGGAGGAAGGCAGAATTCCAGAGGGTCAGATAACTGGTGCGTGGGCTGCAGATAGTCTCCTGAGTCACAACTTAATTACATGGTACGAGATCAACACTGTACATGTGCAAGGCGAACTTAGCCTGATAGCATCCTGTTTTCCAATACACAGCCCTACCGAAAAAGAAATCAATCCCTGAAGAATTTGCAGAGCTGAAAACAGAGTGAAGCAGCTCAAATGATCCACACTTGCACTTATTATTAGAACTGAGAGAAAGCTGTAAATAAGTCTGTGAATATTCTGTTTCACTGCATTCAAGTTGTTTTCCAACCTGATTCTTCAAGTGAGTTCCTACACATCAATCTCCACAAATACCAGAGCAAAATGTGTGTCACGTAAGACTTTGGTATGTTGTTTGATCAGGACATGGGAAGGGCACAGGTTTTGAGTTAGCTGCATGAAGGTGCATTTTACCTAGAGAGAAAGACTGTTTTAAAACAGTGTTTCAAAGCATTAAAATAAATAAATAAATAAATAAATTCAGGCACATAATTAGTATTTGCAACAACCTTCCCCCTGCCCATTTTTCCAATCAGGAAAAAGAAGGACATCATAAGACTTGGATATCTATTACAAAGAGCTTAAATTTTAAACATTGGAAAAGCCACAGTGAACTGCTGGCAACCAATCTACTGACAAAGAATGAATCAGGAAATCAGTTCAAATAACGAATACATTGAGAACATCATAATAAAGTCAATTATGATTCATACACAGAAAACAGACACCATTCATTCAGTATCATCCGGTGAATAAATCACTGAATTCCTCCTTATCTGAATATGTTTCTCTAACAAAGCTGGATCTTGTAAGAGCTTTCTAATTTAGCAGCTTCTGATGGTAGGGAAGAAGGAAAACCTATGTGAAGCATGCAAAGATTTGGGCTTTCTAAGGCCCAGGTTTAGCAATGCCTCTTGGCCACCCTGCTGCTGGAAACCGACCCAGACCATAACCTAGGTTAGGGCTGCATCCCACCAAGCAGCCCATCAAACTATGCGGGACACCCTTACAACCAAGAGAGGATTCAGACCTGTGTCAGATACGTATTTTCACCTGAGGTGAAATCCTGGCCACAGTGCGAGAAGTTTTGCATTTGGCTTCAGCAGCCCCAGACTTCTGGTTTGTCTTGTTGGCAGCCATGGGACAGGAGGCAAAAGCACATTTTCCCTGTAGGTGCTCCTTTGTGTTCTCCAACCACTTTCATCCACTGCCGTGTGCTTCAAAATCTTTAGCCAGACAGCTAGTTTGCATATGTTTTTGAGACATTATTTAAACACGTACAAACAAAGAAAAACCTTGAAGCAAAAGAGAAAACACAAAGAAATTAAGGAAAAAGTCTTCAGAAGTCTCATGTAAGCCAGTCAATTGGGTTTTCCCCACAGATTCCCCTACTGCCTTGACTTCCCCAATCCACACACTTCACCAATTCCAACAGTGAATCTATACATTCACAATCAAGTGAAATAACTTATAGACATTAACCGCAAAGCTACATGAGCATAACTGCACACAAGCATATGCTTGTTTTAAAGAGGGAATCTGATCCACCCTGAGAAATGCACACACCGCACTCCGTTAAGCTGCTGGTTGCTTGAATTACTCTGTCCACAACAATGCAGCAATTAACAAAGAAAGAAAGAAAAAAAAAAGCAGGAAAGGCAAAACAAAACAAACAAACAAAAATCAACATTCAAAGTACTGCAACAGTAAAATAAATCTGGAAATTCTATATGACTGCTAGCGCAGAGATTATGGAGACGGAAAAAGGAAGGACTGGAAAACTGAGATGCTTTCAGTCAGAATTTGAAAGTGCAACAGTGAAGCTGTGAAGCGCGATAAATGTGCCATGATTGCTTAAATATCATCCTTCTTTGCCAAGGATGCTGCCCAGCTAAAAAAAAAATCTCAAACTTCACCCTCCAATGAATAACACAGCTAAGGAAATTTTTACAGACTTCTCCACAGAAGTGCAGGGTTTCCTCAGGTCTATCCAGGTAACAGTTTATTTGGGGTTCACATAATAACTGGCAAGTAATAATGGCTTATCTTGTTAATTTTGCTCTTGGGAAAACGGCAAGAGGTGATCAACTTCTGCTCCTGTTTTGTGTGTTTGTTTCTTTCCTATAAAAGATTTTTTTTTCCTTCACAATGAAATGCAGATAAGAAGTTCACCTCAACAAGATAAAGAGTGAGATGGGTGCAATTAACTCTATGGGGTAATTTGTTTTGTACAAGACCCATGACTTCAATAACATAACATCTAAAATGCTTGAGGTATCAAAAAACTGGAAGCAAAACCAATAAGAGTAAGATGAAATGTCAGCAGATGGATTAACATCATCGAGAATGTGCCAGATTCTTAAGGCTATATTAAGCAACATTTTTTTTTCCAAAGCAAATTCTATGATAATTTTAATAACTTTACTGTGGATCTTCATTTCCTTTTTAACGCTAATTTCCTATTTTCCTGCTGTTCCTCATTACTCCTCCTGCGGGGAGGGGGGCTGTTCCCAAACTAGTGTCAGTTTTCCAGTGCCTCAGCTGGGATATGGACTCTACAGCTTTGGTCCAAAGTTCTCTGCTGTTACAAATGCTCATGACCATAATGCCAATGCTCATCCAGTGCACTTCTGGATGCCGTCCAATTGCTTTATGTCACTCAATATAATCAGTCATGGGTCCGGACTTCCTTGCTGCTGTCTTCTTTATCCATCCAGACGCTTTATCAGGGGAGAAACTTCTCCTGGGATTTTTGGGTGTCAATCTCAGCCCTTCCTGAGCAGCAGCTCAAGAGCAGGCTGTATAAAACATACCCTGAGTGTGCAGCAGATCTGACATCTTAAGGATACGTACGGCCCATCGCACTTGTGCTGTGTGTTCGTTAAGCGCAGTGCAGCTGGGATGTTTCCAACACTGGAGCTGTGCAAGTTGACCACACAGCACGTGCGCTGCAGGGCAGGCATCCCATATACTTGCTTTGTGTCCTCTGTCTCCAAAGCCCACGAGCATGCGAGAAATCAGCTCCACGTGCTAGGCCAGCCATCGTTTGAGCAAAACTCCTGGATGATTTTTAGAAATAATGCTTTTAAGGTTCATAGACCAAGCTTCTCAAATGTGCTCTGACACTAGTTAAAACGGAGCATTAACTCACACTGTTGATAAAATATTAAAAGCTAATCTTAGCATAAAAAAATAAGTGCAGTAGTTAAAAGATCCTTCAAAGTTGACCTCCTGTATTTTTTTTTTCAAAATGTGCATTTTTTTAAAAAAAAAGTGCAGTTCCCTTCTAGCTGATTTGCTCTGCTTGTCAGCCATCACCTATGCACTATTAGCTGTCCAAGGGTCTGAACACATCCACACCCCCTCAGGGGATGGCTATATATAAAATATGTGAGACTCAATAGACAGCTGATTTAATATGACCTTATCAGCTCATGGCACAGTGTCTCCTACCATTTTTCTCTGACAAAATTGAGGTGCTTTTGGCAGAAGGCAATAGATACACACCATATCATATTTAGCTCCATTCCTAGAAATTTGACAAGACTGATGCAGCCTTTCCTGTCATTTTTCCTCTTAAAACAGGAATTTCAAGAACATCAGAAAAAATGGCACATCACTGCCTAAAAGGCTAGCTTTACTGTAAAGAAAACGATCAAAAATGCCCAGCTTTACTTTCAAGTAGAGGCTCTATGGGGCAATTTGTTTCTTTAAGAACTCTAACCTGTT